TATACACTACAAAGTGGTACTTCATTTATATCCCCCTTTTTTGTTTACTTTTGTCAGAGATGTGTATTCCATTGCCATTCATATATTGTAGGTGCATGAATTCAGCAAAGTAATCCAATATAGTCCAGTAGTCTATAATAGTAGTGGGTTATCTGCATGACTGGCAATGTCAGAAGTTGTTGACTTGAGCCTTTTACAGCTCAGCATATCAATATGGCTTTACTTTTTATACCTTGTTTTTATACTTTTCTGCTGTGTGGTTAAGACCAAGATAAAACAAGACTTGTGTAACAAAAAATGCAACATTTGTATCTGACAAGGTCAGTCAAATCCCCTCAGGACTTACCCTTAAACCCTATAGGGCAACTTGTAGATCTTTAGTCAGTGTCAGTCATGTAGATGAGTCATAGCCATTGCTTGACCAATTTGCTCCCTGTGAAAGCCTGAGAGAATGTTTTCTCTCCATGTGACTCTCCTTAGGCACACTCTACATTGTCAAACTCTTTCCTTTGTGGTCCCATAATCTCCTTGATCAGAAAATTTGGGACACCATTGAGTTATGGGATATTACAGTACAGGTTTCCTTATGTCCTGAGTCCTCATTGACCTTGAAGGGCTAGGGCCAAAATTTTGGCTGTCCTTATAGTCCTTCTTTTTCTCTAATTTTTTGGTCTGCAAACTTAAGTTGTTAAACCTCCAGAAGAGAAGCTTAATGATATTATTACCCTGGAAAATAGACTGTTGAGCTTAATATCAGTATCTGTTTGAATATCAAACACCTTAGACATAACATGGATCTGGTATTTTCCGTCAATTGTTGATATACTGAACTTTAAATCCATACAGAATGTGAAAAAAAAAATAAAAAGCAAAAATAGAAATAAAGAATTACACATTTTTACACAGAAATTTAGAAATCTAACCACATAGAACATTGTAGAAGGACAGTCCTATGACATTTTTTTCTTGTCTCTTGTTTTCATTTATTACCTTTTTTAATAAATATAATTACGTGCTGTGCTTCTCTTGGTGTTTGACTGTCAGTAAAGGTGGGTTGGATGTTTTAGGGGCTCCTCACTGTGGCTCTGTGCTTTGTGTCAAAAGGATAGCTGTTAAAATAAAAAGATAAGCAAACTTATGGATAAAGCCATCAAAGCAAAACAGAAAGCCCTGGTTCTAATATGTATTTCAGAATGGATTTATTAAAATGTGGAGCGCCCGGGGAGATAGCTCAGTAAAATAGGCACTTGCCTGGCAAGCACAGGGTCCTGAGTTCAATCCCCAGTACAAAAAATATGTGGGGAGTCCGCAGCTCCACTTTCAGTCTGTGAAGTGTACCTCCTGTGTAATCTGGTTTCCTTTGGGTCTGTCCCGGTAGGTTAGTTCTAAGGACATGCTTCAGTTATCAGTGAGGGTGTTCCAAATAGAAATAGTTGTGATTTCCATTTAGTTGTTGATTTAGTTGTCACATTTAGGTAGAAGAACTAACTGGTGGTCAAAGAGAGTGAAAGTCAAAGGCACAAGCAGGTGTGTAGCAAATGAGAAAGACAGAGCTACAGACAGCAGAGAATGCTTACATACATGCTGCCTTGGAAGCAGGATTTCTAGCAGCAGGACGTAGAAAAATAATAGGAAGTTTGAGCAGAAGGACAATACTAAGATTAGGTTGGGGGAAAGGCACGCCTAAATCTTGCACTGTTTCTCATATTGTGAAGAAGGAAAATTGTTCAATTCTTCACTAAAGAATATGAAATCGATTCACAACTCTTGTGGTGATACTGCATTTGACTGAATATTTAATAAATGAGAAACTTTAGAGCCCAAGTAAATATGTTTTCAATATTTGTTTTCCTCCTGGGACAAGGAAAATTGAATTGCATTAGATTGTGTAGGGAAATGTATGGTACTGTAAATTCTCAAGTTTTGCAGCAAATTTAACATTGCAATAAAATATTGTCCATTAGAAGCAGCAACCAAACACCCATTAGTAGATTTTACTGCATTACTGTGTTTTTGCAGATCTGAAGAGGAGAACAAGATACAGAACAGAACAGTAATAATGACTGGCATCAGAAGTAGTGTGTTATTAATTTTCTAATTTGCATAAAGTATCTCTTACAAACTGGAATGCCTGTTTATAGGAGACACCAAATGTTCATAAAATGACATAAATTATTCTTAGCTGAAAAAAGACCGAGCTGCTTAACTAGGCTGGGTGGCACACTGTTCACTTGGAATGGTGCCATGGTGAACCTCAGAAAAAATCTAAGCCCTTTCTGTTAGCCAGACAGTAATATTTTAGAAGTGAATATGGTGTCATGAAATAGTACAGTCTTGCTACTGTACTATTTTTAAATCAACATCCCATACTTAACTGATCATGTACATACACGCGCGCACACACACACACACACACACACACACACAATACTAACAGCTACATTGCTTTGAGATAATGTATGGTGTTTTGCTCTTTGCAACTTCAAATGTTTGAGGATGCCTTGAATTACATTTAGCAATTAAAATTGACAAGTAGTATTAATTACAGTTCAAAAAAAGTTTAGCTTTATTTAGATGGTGCACTTTAGATCAATCATGTATCTATTTCCATAGTATTCTCTCCCTAATCTTTCTACAGAATACAAGGAAGTGGAATGGAAATTCCAGTCCAAAATGATCTCTACTCTTACCCTGGCTTATCTTCCCCATGAATTTCCTTACCTAGTAGTCTTTTAAATCCTACTGTGGCCCTAAGTCGTCTCCTCACAGCCATCCAGCTCTTTCCATCCTTCTAAATTTCTCATCTCTGATCTAATATTTGAGGACATGATAAAGAAAAAATCAGAAAGACTGTAGCTACACACTGCTTCATCAGTCTAAAATATTTAGTCCCTCTAAAAAGGAATTTTAGAAGAATTAATTGACACTATTTATGGAATCAGAATTTGTTATGTCAACCTGAGTTCTCGATATTCTTGAAAACAGAGTAACAGCACTGCTCTGTGCAGCTGATTTTGATCAGCATTCGAGTCTGCAATTTCTGAACCTCCACTTTGTTCCTTATTTGAACCCCCTATAGATTTCATCACTTCCAGGAGATGTCATTCCATTTTCCCGATGTCTAAAGGCGCTTGGATGTGCTCAATAGCTCCATCATTTAAAAAATGGTTTCAGCATCCAATGCCTCTGTGTTGTCTGTTTTGTGTATCATTTTGTCTCTTTATGCTCATAATAAGTTAGCTGAAGATAGAATCCCTGACCACATCAGTGCTATGGTTTCTATTGATGATAGTTTCTATAGTAATTGTTGTATTGTATTATTATAAAATCTCCATAACTTCAGTGAGTATGCATAGTTTTTATATGTTATGAACATTAAAAAATCTTCAAATACAATACTACAAGCTATCTGGCATTACACAATTTTAAGTTTAAAAGACTTTTTTGATGTATCTTTGCCTAATGTCCAACAGGGAGGAATTATGCATGGTTGAAATGTGGACAGAATAATTATACACTTTTTTGAAATGTAAATGCACATTTCCACTCTGAAAAATAGTGAATTCAAGATATATAGGAAAATCCTATTGCATGCTCTGAGATTTTACTTGTTTTGCTCATTAATAACCAGTGATGAGCTCCCCGTAATGGCATGACAAGGCTTGAACTCACACCTGGGATCTATTTTCCATTTCAGTGTCAGCCAGAGTGGCTACTTGTCTCCTAGAAAATACAAAAGGAAGGTGGTTTGAGTTCTGTCTAGTCTGTATTTTTGTCCTCAAAAGCTAAATACTTATAGAAATGACATGCATGTTGGCGTGAGCTCGGTTTGCTGGTCCATCTTTCGTTGTCCCCTCTGTGAGGCTCTGAGTAACAGCATTATTTTCCACTAAAACAAGAAACAGTTAAAGAATTCAGCCTTGATGCTAGTTTGGCTTTGGCTGCCTATTAGATTTCTGTGAATTCTTCATTCATAACAAAATAAAAACAAATTACCCCAGGCAGCCTCTCAAAATCCTAGAATGTTTGCTTGATAACCAAAGTCTAGTGCATAGATGGTTTCATTTTATTTTTTAATTAAGTAATTAGCTTGGGACAGAGTCTCACTACAATGGCTTGGACTCAGCGAGCCTCCTGTTTCAACCTCCCCAGCTCTGGGATTACAGGCATGTACCACCTCACCCAGTTTTGGTGACCTACACAGCCTGCCTGGGATTCCATGGCTGGCATGGCATGTAGTACCGGGGAAGTGAACCTGGGTCCTTGCGCTTGCCAGGCAGGCGCTTATATCACTGAGCTATCTCCTGAGCCCCATAGATAGCTTTAAATAAGGTTAAGAAAAAATTTCTATTTTAAAGCTAATGAAAATGTATACAATAATGTTAGTTTACTGCCTCTAAGCATTATTTTTGTTGTTTTTCAAACAGCTGAACAAGAATGACTTTGCTACATAGGAAAACTCTTTGGGGTATGGTGATGCATACCTGTTGTCCCAGCTTGCTGGGAAGCTGAGGCAGGAAGATTGCAAGTTTGAGCTATGTTTAGGCAGTTTAGTGAGATCCTAGATCAAAATTTAATTTAAAAAAGGTCTAGAGATGTAGCTCAGATCTTCCTGTGTTCAAACCCCAGCACCACAGATGACAGATGGATGGATGGATGATGGGAACACTAGGAAATTTATAACAATCTAGGATATATTAATATGTATATAACATATTTACATATTCTATGAAGCAAATTCTTATATTTTATAAATTCACATAAAATAAATGTGTTAAATATCTAGTAAATGTTTTCTGATAATATATTCAACCAGATGTCACTAAGTCATCTAGTTCTGTGTACTTATGATACACTTATTCTTAATAAAATGGCCAAATGTTGAAAAAAGTTGAAGCCCTCAAAGAGCTGTATGTGGAGCAATTCTTATTATATTCATTGCTCCAAGCTTTCTTTGATTAAAAAATATCAGAAGCAGGGAACCAACATAGAAACAAGAAAACACATGGTCGAAGTGTATTGTCGAACATCCTCTTAGTACAAACCCTGGACAGGCATGAGCTCTGAGCTTCAGCCCCGGCCCAGTGTGAATCAGTCTTGTGGCCAAGTCCTGCAAATTCCTGGGCCTCATTTGCTCAATGTGCAAAATAAGGCGGAAGAATCCTAGATGACCTTTACCACTTACTTCATTTCTTAATTTTTCTAGTCCTATCATTTCATATTGACATTGAAATGATTGAGGGTATAAACAGCAAAGAATGTAGACAACTCAAAGTGAAGTTAACTGTGGGTAATCAAACACATTGAGGGGAAAAAGAAAAATAAATTTTATTTCCTTTCAAACAACCTGAGAAAAATTATTTGTTACTATAGTTTTTCCTCAAATGTTCATTCACCTTATGGTATAGTTTAATAATATATCATCTCTGTGAGGAATTATTGTCAGTTTTCCCCTTCAAAATAAAAATGTCTTCCTTATATTTAGTAATTTAAACTAAAAATGTTGTTGAAATCAATATCAAAGAAAACAAGTTCTCACATACAGCTCCATGTTCACTTCTATATGTTTATACAACTTACATTATATACTTTCTTATGGAAATTATTTGATTACGTAAGTTTTCTTAAGAACATAATTAACTATAATTATGAAAAATATATCATGTCATGACCAATTACCCACAATATATTTAAAATAATTGGTAATATTCAACAAAAGCCATGGTAAAAATCATTGTCATGTTATGACATGCCTAAAAGTGCTGTTCAGGACTGAAGCTCTGCTCATTACTAAAGAGATGCTTGAAACTGTGTGCTTCTCTTTTCATGTGATGACAGAAGCACTTACTCCTGACCAAGGGATGCTGCATAGCTTGCATAAAATGCAGTGAATGAAAATTTCCTAGAGAAACTGGCTCATGCTTTCAGAGATACAGCACACACACACACACACACACACACACACACACACGCACGCAACTTATGCTTATTCTATCACAGGGATCATACATGTTAAAGTCAAAAGGAAATAGCAATTAGCTACTTTATTATCTGATTTTATCAACACAGAGCAATGTTGTCTTAGTGGATTTTAGGCATCACACCAAGAGTAGCATGATTATAAGGACTTTGGAATCTCATCTCTTTCTAATCGTCTATGTTCTTTTAGTGTGGTTTTGCAATAAATAATGCTTATATTCTATGTTTTCTCTTAAAATATTCTTTTATAACATTTGAGAGAAAATGCCAATATATTGTACCTATAAAATATGTAAATTTTTAAGATTCCATATTTTACAGTTATAATCAGTTTATACCCTAATTATGTTATATTTCACTTTCAGGTACACAAAGAGAGTGTATATGTTTGTATTTTAGTTTCTCTATGTAAAAAAAAAAGGTATTTAATTTTTCTACATTTATATAAAATGTATAAAACCTCCCTCCAGGTTATAGCAAAATTTTAATATAGTAATTCCTATTGCCATGTTTGCCACTTTGATAAATAGAAGAACTTTGTATAGAAAATAAAACCAAAATAAATTACTTTGAATCAAATAAAAAGTAGGCTGACTAGTCGGAGTCCAATTACAAGCTAATGTTAATTAGCTAGAAAATGTAATTATCAGAATAATTTCTACAGTGTATCTTAGAATGAGGTACCTGCCCATTAGATCCTTACAATGTAGACACAGTGATGGAATAGAAAAGTAGCATACACCTATTAATCATATACTTGAATAGCATTACTATGCCTCAATATAAATAGTTTTCAGAAATACTTCGGGCCAGCAAGTTGAGGGGCTAAATAAACAAAGAGATTGATCAAAGTCCTCAGGTAAGAGGGATCTAATTTGGCAGGATCAGTAAATGTCCAGTATTCAAGTCTACAGCTGAGAGGAGATGCTTATGATGGGTGAAAAATGTTTCATAATCTACAAATTATAAAATAATAATCATCATCAACAGATTATGAACCTAACACAATGCAGTGCACTATGGAGTTCAGCAAGAATTGCATCGAGGTAGATAATCAAGAACTTTTCTGTTCATATTTTGAAAATGTGCTTCGGTTTGCGCCCCGAGGCGGGCGGAGTCGCTCTCCTGCTTCGCTGCTCATCAGCTGGATGGGATTCTCCCTGACCTGGGGGGCATCAGTGTTTTCTTCTGCTTAGGCCTGCAGCTGGTTGGATAAAGCCGTTCACATTAGGGAGGACAGTCCGCTTTCCTGTCTATTCATTTAAATATTAACCTCTACCAGCAGCACCTCACAGAAACTTCCAGAACAATGTCTACCTATGTGTCGCAGCAGCACTGGCCCTGCCGCAGAGACGTAAATTAACCGCTGTGGCCAGCCGTGGCACTGCCCGCCACAGCCCTGAGTGCTGCTGCTCGGCTCAAGCCTCGCACGCTCTCCCACACTCCCTGGCCTCCAGGCTCGGCTCGGCTTTCCTCTCCGACGTTCTCCCCTTCCATGAAGACCTTTCTCACTTCACCCACTAGGTAGCCCTTGTTTCCGGTCCTCTCCTCACACGCCGCCTCCTCTCCGTTCTTTCTGGGGTAGCTTGCCCTGCCCATCACTGTCTCTCTCAGTATGCATTGCGTGTCTTCATTATCTGACACGATGCATATTAATTCAATCTATCACTAATACAATTGTGAATGCAATTTCTTTAGAGCAGTGACTTTAGTTCATCATGATCTCCTCGGTGTCTAGAAAAGTCTCTAGAACTGAACTATGATTCACTAAAAGTCTTTAGAAAAATTTAAGAAAATATGACTGTGGTGAATCCCTTCGGGGTCCATTTACAGAGTATCTGTAACTCTCCCCTCCTGAGGGGAGACATGAACCAAACCAAAGCAAATCAGAATGTGTGCTCCTCTTGTTGCTCCTCAGCTGTGAGGTAGGCCCATGAGCCGGTGTGGGTTGCTAGTGGCAAAGCAATAGACAGGGCATGCTACGTAGTTACCTTGGGTGCATATGAGATTGAATAATTATACAAGACTAACTTGAGTGGAAATCTGGATAGAAGTGATCCTAGATTACACCGATAAAATTTCATGTACCTCTCAAAGTAAACAAATAATTTGTGCAACCACATGGGAAAAGACTCAGAGACAGGCTAATGGCTGTAACTGTCTTGTGTATAGTAAATACCACGATGGTACAGATGCATACATAGGTGTTAGGGGTGCTGCACAAAGGAACGTGGAGCGCTGTGTAGACAGCATGAGCACTCCGCAGACTCCCACCAGATAAGAGCTGTCAGCGAGACTGCTGCTAGCACTTTGATTCCTCTCTTACTTCTGCTGACTGGAGAATATGCCATCACAGTTACAGCTTGGAATGAGGTCAGCCCTCAGCAACACAATTAACCCAGAGACACGAGAGTGCCAAGTCCAGGCCCTTGTACGTGAGGGCAGCCTTGATACTTGATTAGTTGGCCCAACATTTGCATGGGAAGCAAGTAGCGTTGTGTGTCTTTGCTGGTGGAAAAAAAGGTGTGAGATGTTTTCCCAGACTATTTCTAAGATCCTGTCATGTTTTAAGAAGACATTTATGGTGCCCTTAACCCTCTCTTCTGTCTCCTTCAGTCTCAGGTTACTTCCATATGCCCTTACTCACACTCCTGAATATGAAATTATGTTTTCCTCTAAGGTTTGTAGCAGTTTAACAACATAACAGTGATTTATCAATTACTGCATTGTCAAAATTTTATAGTAAGTCTATGGAATTGACTCATGCTGAAATACAAGCAGTATCTGTGTGTATGGCTTATTACTAAAAGACAATCTGAAAGCAGCTTCTGCTGACCACATTAACTCAGCGTTGTTGGTAATGCAGCTGCATGTATGTACTATCAGTCTTCAATGTTCTTTTACACATGGGACTCGTGTTGTGAATTTTCTTATGTAGCTGATTATATCTTATAGTTATACTTATGAACAATATGTGAACATTTCACTTTTAATACAAGAGGTAGCTTTTGTGGAAGAAAATAAGAATTGAAGTGTGGATTTTTAAAACATTACTACACAGAATCTGATCTGTTTTTCATCTTGACACTTTGGTCAGTAAGGAAATGTACTAGGACAGCTCCACCACAGATTCATTCATCCTGTGTTCATGTGGTCTTTATTGGTCAGGTTCTCTGGGCTGCTGTGTAGCGGTGTGTAGGAACATATGGCAGAGAAGTAGAATAAAGCAATCTATAAATGTGGATTCTACTTGCATAGTTGAGTGAAAATAGTTCTCAAATTATTATCATAAAATATTTCACAGGATTTTTCACATTAACTGTAACCACTTGCACCTAAAGCCGAAGTTCTTTGCTCTATGTTCTAGAAATGCTGGAGCTCTTTTGATAAATTCCCAGGCTCCAAAAATAGGAATCCTGATTTAGTTGTTCTGGGATGAAGCCTAGTCATGTTACCATTGACTGAGATCACCAGATGATTACAATGAGTAATCTCAATTGAAATGCTCGCTCCTGGCTTATTTTTGAAATAGTTCCTGGTTTTAGAAACTAATCTTACTGTACTTTCCCGTAAGATGCACAATGACTTCTGACAGAACGATCCAGCTTCTGAGCCTGTTAAATGACACTGCCGAGCTGAGGCCTGCTCTTCCGCAGGCACCTGCTAGGTGTTGTGTCACGTTGTGTCTGAGGTGTGTGCACTCAGTGCTCATCTTCACAATGACTGCAGACTTCCGCTGGAGACTTAGAGGGTGAGAGTGTTGCCATGGTTTCTCTGGACAGAACGTGTGGGGGGGGGCATGATTCTCGTCCAGTTCCGCTAAATTCAAGGACTCCTTCCAGGTTACACCTCCTTCAGACTTTGAAACTGCATCTCCGAATTCAGCTACAGCACGCTTCCTTCACAGCTCTCTCGACATTGGACAGATTCCTTCTTCACCCATGTAATCTAACGTTGCATTTGCATGCCTTGCTAGTAGATGGAATGCCCCTCCCACTTTCACTTGGCTTCTTGGCCATCCTTTAAGGTGCAACTCAAATGCTGCCTCTTCAGTCATGCCCTTCTGTGTCTGCTGTGGCAGTGGTCACCTCCTCTACGACAATTCCCAAGTGTTACCTAGAACTCCCTCTGATTTTCTCTTTATTACATTTATTTGTACTGTGACTAGCACTGCTTTTGTTTATAAGGTCTTTGAGAACACTGTTGTGTCTGATTCATGTCTGTATTTGGTGCAGTGCCTCAAACAGCACCTAGCCCATTGCTGAGGCCGAGAAAAGTATTTGCTAAAGGAAGACACAGTGAATGAAAAAGAATAAGCAATTTAGTTAAGGTCACCTAACAAATCTACACTTGGGACAGCCAAAAAAACTGAGCTGTACATACAATATGATACATAGCTTCAAACATCCCTATTTCTTTTGAAATATTTCTATTTTATGTGAATTTGATTGCAAAATATATCAACTTTTTAAATGGGAATTTGTGAATGCTTTGGATTTATATGTAAGACAAGGAAGAAATAACCAATAAATAAAAAATAAGAGCATTCTTCTGTTCCTGGTCATTTACTTTAGCAACTGGAAAGAAAATAGTAAAGCTTATATATGTGTGATGACTTGGAATGACAGCATGGTCACAAATGTTTTAGCAGCAGTATTTTTAGAAGCTCTTTTTACATTTAAGCAGAATTTCACATTCTAATTCATTTAAGATTCACTTAGATGTACAACTTGTACTCATTAAAGGGACACTAGTGCATATAGTATAGCTATCAGATGTTATAGACTTTTTTCAATAATAGAAAGAAAGGATGCTTAGAACTTTTACTGGCATATTGAGAAAAAAATAAAAAACCAAGCTATTCCTTAGAATATCCTTGGTTGTTTTGAAGAGTTTCTTTTTTTATGTATTTAGTACAAAGTCTACAGGGTCTCTACACAGATCAGACTTGTAGTGATGCTCCTGTTCTCAGCCACGTTCTGGGATTATAGGCACGTGCCACCACATCCAGTCTCATTTGCCATCTCGAGATGCCCCGGGGTGGGGGCGGGACTGTCAGAGCATGTCAGGGATTGAACCCGGGTCCCTACACCTGCCTAAGTAGTCACTTTAGTCTGCTGAGCTATCTGGCCAGCCCTTCTGAAGAGCTTTTTTGTCTTAACATCTATTTAGGAAATTATTTGATTCCCACAATGAATGGTTTTGTTTCGTATGCTTTAGATACCACTTTGTACTTGGTAGAGATTACACGGGCCAGTGATCTGCTACTTGCATTACAGGACACAGCTGTTGCGCTATAAATTGTAGATTGTTCTGCATTAAAATAAATGATGTTCTGAAAACAATTTTAAATCAGTGTTATTAAAGCTATGAGTTCTGAGCATGTTCTAGTGTGTTCAGAGGATGCATACAATTTGAGCATGGCGTACTCTTACCAGTTTGCACACGGGAGTTATTCAACATCAGAAATCTAGTCCATTAAGCTTACTTACATATCTCAGAAATAGGCAAAACCACTTTCTCAGATAGGAAATCATTTTGCAGACAGGACCAAGCACTGGATACCTTAGACTTTATGCAGTTACACATTTGCTTTTGTGAGTGCTCCTTAGAGTGAAAGCTGCTATACATGACAGGCACGTGAGTGATTGTGGTTGTGTTTATTTAGGACCACTGAATTTGTGTGTGTGTGTGTGAGAGTGTGTGTGTGCACATACACAGCACTATGTATTAAGCTCAAGAGTTTGCCACATCACTAGTACTATTTTGTTTTTTATTTTGAGAGAGGAAGCTAAGTTCCCCAGGCTGGCCTTGAATACACAATCTGCCTGTGTCCAGGAACACTGAACTTTGAATAGCACATAATTTCACATGTAATATTTTATTTTGCTTTTAATGTTTTTAACCTCTTTGAAAATATTATAGTGGTTGGTACATTATGTCAACTAGGGGAGTTGAAGACTTGGCTGGATGGCTTGGTGGGGGCCCCTCCCTAGGGTGTGGAGGGCCCTCTCTTGAGTGACTCAGCACTTAAAGGATATATAAAGAGATTTGAGGGAGGATGGTTGGTACCACCTCCTTCAAGGAGCTCTGATCTTCGTAGTCAGTGTGCAAGGAAGAGAGGCTTGCTAGAAGCCGCAGCCATATCTCCTCCCTTTGCTCTTTGTTGTTTTCCACTACCACAGATTGCTCCCCTCTACCGTGTACCAGTCTGCCTTGGAGCCCATGGAGTGTAGACTGAGACCTCTACTAACTATGAGCTAAATTAACCTTTCCTTCCTTAACTTTGGGTGTTGGGTATTTTGTCCCAACAATGAGTAAAAAGGAACTAAGCCAAATAAGTCCTTGATGCATGAACCATACAAATGTAGGGTGTGGGTCAAATTTGGCTTTCAGATCACAGTTAGCTAAACTCTGCTTTAAAACTAAGTATAGGTCTAAAATCTAGTTATAATTGTCCTAAGACAGTTATTACTGGTGGTAGATTTTTGAAATGTTACAAAGCATCATCATATGTATTGAGAAAAATAGTGCAACTAATAAAATTGTGCAAAATCCTAGTGTGAAAAAACTATAAAAAACAGCTACCAATAGCAGAATAGGAAAAATATGAATTTATAGGTAAATTACCAATTGCAGTTATATTTTAAAAAATTTGACTTATTTCACCATGGTTATCCACATTAAAAAATATACTGCAATATATTCTCCAAAATTAATACATTTTTAACATGCTTCATTAATCTTCATAATATTGCTATCAGTTCACAGAGAATGTTTATCCTTCTGTGAGGATGTTTCACTTCTTTCTTCTTGAGCAGTTCCTTTTAAAAAGAGTAGTCCTTGACATTGAGGTTTCACTCTTATGTATTCTTAAATGCAAGGTTTTCCTTTAGATTTGTACAGTTCAAGACCCTAACAGTCTAGAATTTCCCTAGTAACAAATATTTTTATAATCATGGTTGATGCCACATGAAGAACCATAAGGGGAGTCAGGAAAGGATACTTCAAGAAGTTGGTTATATTCAAGTTGATATCCACATTAGCTGTTGGATTTCTATAGTGATGTTTAAGAAAACAACATAGGACACAAATCAAACTGCTGAGCATCTGACGTGGCCAGTTGAATTCAGCACCCTTGTTATGATGGTGCTAGTTGGCCAATCCACAAGATAGATAAGCATGTTCACAGAAAACTTGGCTTTCCTCTTCACACCCTATTCCAGAGCTCTCCTCCAAGT